GACAATGAATATAAGACAAATGCCAACCCCCCAGCAAACCTGCAGCAGCAGCAGCAGCAGACATAAAAGGAGACAGAAATGAGACAGAAAGGAGACACATGCAGACAGGGGAGACAGCAGACACCAAACAAACAAAATAAACATTAAAAGAGACAGAGAGAGAGAGAGAGAGAGAGAGAGAGAGACACAAAGGAGACAGAAACAAAAAAGAAACAAAGACAAATGGAGACAGAGACGAAAAAGAGACAAAGACAAAAGGAGACAGCAACAGAAAAAAGACAAAGACAAAAGGAGACAGAGAGCATGCAAAGCGTACGAGAATCCAAGTGGGGCAGGGGGGATGAGGCTGCAGAGCACCCTCTAAATAATAATATTTAAATGCTAGAAGCGTCTCCGCAGATATCATCGCTAAGTCCAGCCAGCACTGCAACCCCATTCGCGGGCACTCACTGCACAAACACAGCAGCAGCAGCAGCAGCAGCAGCAACGGCAGCAGCAGCAGTAGCACAAATAGCACAGAAAAACTATTTGTATGGGGAGTTGACGATCTTGGCTGCAATAAGCAGCAGCAGGAGAAACACCAGCACCAGCAGCAGCAGCAAAGACAGGCAAAGTCTTCGATCCGGCAGCAGAAACAGCAGCAACAACAGCAGCAGCAGCAGGGAAAGCAGCAGCATTGGGAAGAGCAGCAGCAGCAACAACAACAGGAGCAGCAGAAAGAGCAGCAGCAGCAGCAGCAGGAAAAGCAACAGCATCCGCAGCAACATCCTTAGCAGGAGAAACACCAGCAGCAGCAGCATCCGCAGCAGGAGAAACACCAGCAGCAGCAGCAGCCGCAGCAGCAGAAGCAGCAGCAGCAGGAGGAGGAGGAGGAGGTTTGACCTGTCAGTAAGAAAGACATAAAATTCTCTAGTTCCTGCTGCAGCTGCGCATGCAAAGAGTGCAGTCCTTGCAATGATAATCCAATGCTCGCTGTGTATGTACAGCTCAGCCTTCAAGAAGAAAACATTTAGATCCAGCAGAGTTACAGCTAGACAAAAAAATATTATCCCCAGAAAACTACGCACTGAGTGCAGCATCGAAGGCCATCGATACGCTGTCCTGCAGCAGCAGCAGCAGCAGCAGCAGCAACAGCAGCAACAGCAGCAATTGTAGCAGTTGCAGCAGCAGAAAATTTATAAACAACCATACACACACATACATACACTCACGAGTCAAGCAGTAGAAGCACAAGCAGCAGTAGCACTAGCACGAGAAGCAGCAGCAGCAGCAGCAGTAGCAAGAGAAGCAGCAGCAGTAACAGCAGCAGAAGCAGCAACAGTAGCAACAGAAGCAGCAGCAGCAGCAGCGTGTGGAAACGTCCTAAGAGAACGACTCCAGAAGCAACAAAAACAAATGCATTCGAGCAAATTGCAGCAGCAGGCAAACCACCATTTGCAGCAGCAGCAGCAGAAGTAGCAGCAGCAGCAGCAACAGAAGTAGCAGCAGCAGCGGCAGCAGCAGCAGAAGTAGCAGCAGCGCGGAGACTGACAGCTCATAAGGCATGAATTGTTTAAAGGCAGCTTTTAGAGGAGATCCTCTCTCCTTCTTCTTCTCAGCAAGCCAATGCTGCTGCTCCTTGTGCAGCTTCAGCAGCTGCTGCTGGAGTTGCTGCTGCTGCTGCTGCTGCTGCTGCTGCTGCTGCTGCTGCTGCTTCTGCTTCTGTTTCTGCTGCTTGAATGCCCCTCCATCAGCAAGCTCTGTCTCCATACTTGGGCTGTCACAAACCGGCGACGACGACGCTGCTGCTGCAGGTGCTGCAGCAGCAGCAGCAGCAGCTGCAGCAGGATCTGTGGTACGCATTTGGCGGCCGTCTCTGCATTTTTCCTCTCCCTTTGCTGCTGCAGCTGCCTGCTCAGCAGCAGCAATAAGCTTAGGGGTTGGTGGTGATGAGACAGAAGGAGACAGGAGACTAACAAGAGACAAAGAACGAGAAGCAGAGTCGCTGAGAGCTATGAAAGACCGCTCATAATTTCTATGCCAGTTATACTGCAGCATCTGCCAGCGGCGACACAAAAATAAACCCAAATATATACCCAACATGTTGCAGCCCAACACGTCCAATAACACCTGCAGCAGCAGCAGCAGCAGCAGCGGCAGCAAACGCAGCAGCAAACGCAGCAGCAGCAGCAAAGGCAACAGCAGCAGCAAACGCAGCAGCAGCAGCAAAGGCAACAGCAGCAAGCAGCAAGAAAATAATTATATGACCGATTCAGATTATCAGGAGCAGCAGCACATGCAGCAGCAGCACCACTTCCAGCAGTAGCACGTGCAGCAGCAAGACTTGCAGCAGCAGCAACAGCAGCACCACTTCCAGCAGCAGCACTAGCACTTGCAGCAGCAGTAGCAGGACTAGGAGTTGCAGCAGCAGCACTAGGAGTTGCACCAGCAGCACTAGGAGTTGCAGCAAGTGCAGCAGCAGCACTAGGAGTTGCAGCAAGTGCAGCAGGTGCAGCAGCAAGCGCAGCAGGACTAGGAGTTGCACCAGCAGCACTAGGAGGTGCAGCAGCAGCCCTAGGAGTTGCAGGAAGTGCAGCAGCAAGGCAGCAGGAGGTGCAGCAGCAAGTGCAGCAGCAGGAGGTGCAGCATCAGCAAGTGCAGCAGCAGGAGGTGCATCAGGAAGTGCAGCAGCAGGAGGTGCAGCATCAGCAAGTGCAGCAGCAGGAGGTGCAGCAGCAGCAAGTGCAGCAGCAGGAGGTGCAGCATCAGCAAGTGCAGCAGCAGGAGGTGCAGCAGCAGCAGGAGGTGCAGCAGCAGGAGCAAGTGCAGCAGCAGCAAGTGCAGCATCAGCAAGTGCAGCAGCAGCATGAGGTGCAGCAGCAGGAGGTGCAGCAGCAGGAGCAAGTGCAGCAGCAGGAGGAAGTGCAGCAGGAGGAGGTGCAGCAGGGTGAATAATAGAGTGTATGACTGACATGGTCCCACCAACACTCCCAAAAGTTTGGCAAAATGTGTCTGAAGGAAATTTCCATGAATTCAAACAAAAGAGACAACACCCAAAGCAGATGCACTTCTCTGATTACAAGTGCTTTTATCAACCACCCTGCTAAATGAGCAAACACAAATATGTCCAGCTTCTCCTGCACACACACCATTCATCACGCTCTTTTATTATCAATTCATCCATCCATCCATGGATGAATGCATCCATTACAAGAAAAAGAAGAAAAAAAGAGAATATTTTACGCATTATGCATGCATGCAACTGTCAAAACCAGCAAACAATCTTGGTAAGGGTGCATGCAGCAATAAAAAGGAGACACTTTTGTGCATGCAGCAGCAAAACGGAGACACTTTTGTGCATGCAGCAGCAAAAAGGAGACACTCTCATTAATGATGCATGCACACAAAACAAAAGACAGCGTAGTTAATTTTTAAAAGAAGAACATGCCGGCTGAGGGTTTAGGGTTTGTCTGCTAAGGGTTTAGGGTTTGTAACGGGTTTAGGGTTTAGGGTTTGTCAAGGGTTTAGGGTTTAGGGTTTTACTAGGAAGCCAGCCCATGAGTTGCAGCTGTCTGCATAATTAACTTCTTTCAGAGGGACGCCCGCCCGCGGGTCGATGGAGTTAAGGCCTCCACGAACGTCTTCTAAATTCTAAAAGGAGACAAAAGGAGACAATAAGAGACAAAAGGAGACAAAAAGAGACAATAAGAGAGACAACCAGAGACAGAAGGGAGATAAAAGTAGACAAAAAGAGACAATAAGAGACAAAGAGAGACAATAAGAGACAATAAGAGATAAAGGAGACAAAAAGAGACAAATAAGAGACAAAGAGAGACAAAAAAGAGACAAATAAGAGACAAACAGGGGGTTAAAAAGGCAAAAAGAGACAATAAGAGAGACAAAAGGAGACAAAAGAGAAAAAACAGAGACAAAAAGAAAAATGAGAGACAAACGGAGACAAAAGAAGACAAAAGGAGACAAATAAGAGGCAAAAGGAGACAAAGGGAGACCAAAAGAAACAACGAAGAGACAAAACCAAATAAAATAACCCAAAGATGAGACAAAAAGAGACAAAAAAACGAAAACCCTAAACCCTAAACCCTAAACCCTAAACTGTAAACTGTAAACCCTAAACCCTAAACCCTAAACCGTAAACCCTAAACCCTAAACCCTAACCTGGAAGAGAAGGAAGATGAGCCCGAGTAGATATGCTACGCTGCAGCTTTTAACAAACCTCCAAAAGATAGGCGAGGGACGCACGAGGAGACCGTCAGGGAATTGAAGGGTCCCAAACAAAAGAAAGACAAACAAAGCAGCTAAAAAACCGCTGCACACAACAGCAGCAGCAGCAACAGCAGCAGCAGAAGCAGCGGTGGCAGGGACAGAGACAGAGAGAGGGACAGCAGCAGCAGCAACAGCAACAGCAACAGCAACAGCAGCAGAGGCAGCAGTAACACTGTGACAGGGACAGCAGCAGCAGTAGCAGCGAAAGCAACGGCACCAGCAGCAGAAGCAAAAGGAGACAGAAGAAGACAGAGAGAGACAAATTAAAAGACAAGTAGAGACAAAGAAAGAGACAAATAGAGACAGATAATAAGATAAGACACAGAGAGACAAATTAAAAGACAAGTAGAGACAAAGAAGAACACGAGTAGAGACAAATAATAAGACAAGTAGAGACAAATAATAAGACGAGACAAAGAGAGACAAATAATAAGATAAGACAAAGAGAGACAGATAATAAGACTAACCAAATAAGCCGCAGTCTCCTGGTGCTGCTGTGCTGCGACAAAATTTGTGCCGAGATAAAAACAACAGCTAAAGCAATGCAAAGAGAGGAGACAGTTCTAGGCCTAAAGGAGACAGACACACGAAGAGACAGAGACAAATAATAATAAATCAGATATATAAATATGCAAGTCTTCGCTCGTTTTTTGTTTGGTTGTCTCTTTATGTCTCTATTTGTTTAATTTAATTAATGCTTATTTATTTATTTATTTATTTATTTATTTATTTATTTATTTATTTATTTATTTTTGTTTGCATATATTGCAAATGCATCAATAGAATAAATATAATGACAAATAATACATATAAACAAATATAAATATATATAAATAAATATAAATATAAATATATATAAATAAGTATAAACAAAAATATATAAATAAATATAAATATATATATGTATATTAATTAACAAATAAACGAATAAAGAGGTGGAGAAACAAATAAACAAACAAAAACAAAACAAATGACAAGTAAATGAACAAACAAACAAACAGTAAACAAATATTTAAATAAATATATAAATAAATATATAAATAAATATATAAATAAAGATATAAATAAATAAATAAATAAATAAATAAATAAATAAATAAATAAGTAATGAGAAGAAGATAAACGCACAAAAGATTTATTAGCAAATGACTACACAACAAAACAAAAACAATAAATAGAAAGAAGAGAAGCAATAATAATAATAATAACAATAATAATAATAATAAATAATAACAGCAAGTACAGCAGCAACAGCAACAACAACAGCAGCACTACCAACAATAAGAATGCAAACAAGAGCAGCAAAAAGACGAAGACAAAGGCCCCATATATATATAAATATAAATATAGATATATATATATATGCATATGTATAT